CAGTCCGGATTGTACTATCTCCGCCGCCTAGAGCTCTAATCGTGGCAAACTCATTCGCGAATTCAGGGCTTTTGGGGTCATAAAAATCGACCGCGCGAAACTGAGATCCTGACGTCATCGTCCAGGGTTTGATTTTCCCTTGTCCGGGAAAGAGGCCACGGGCAAAAGACCCGAATGCCGGTCCAGGGGACGCTGAGTAGAATGGCCCCGTAGGGCTCCACCGGAGTTCATCTGGACGACGCTGATATCGGTCCAAATAGAAATTCACCTCACTGGGCTCTGAGCCATCATCGGTTCGCAAGTCCACAACGAAATTACCGACGCGCTCCCCCCATTCGATGCCCCGCTGTTTCGCGTCACCATCGGGGAACCTGTCCAGAAAGGCTCGTCGTTCGAATATGAAAGGCTGTTGAAAAGCTTCGGCCGCGGCAATTGCAAAAGCGACGCCATAAGCGACTTCAGGGTCAGCACCGGATGGACCTGCCCCTATTCCATAGGGCTCGTCATATGTCTGCTCTATCCCGTTTGCCGCGAGAAAGCCGGCAGCCAGGGGAAGAGAGAAATTGTATGCCGCCCGAGGTGGTGGCACACGTTGATCACGTACCTGCTGCATCACGACATCAGTCCAGTGGAAAACCGTGTTCTGATTTGCAGGTTCGAGAATTTGTGTCAGGTATGAAGACGAGGATCCGAAGGACCCCACGCAGCCAGCCGTGGCCAGCACAGAGGTTGCAGCCGCGCCCATCAATACTTGGCGCCTTGATGCATGCATATCGATATTCTCCCAGTTCGACGCAAGCAGCAGAAGGCTAGACGCCGACGCGGGCCAACGTGTCCCGAAGGCACCTCTTCTTCTGCAAAATTGTATCAGTACTGATACAAATAGCGATCTGCGCAGAAATTAGGCCTTTCACGTTAAAAAACCCCTCACCAGCCTGAGGCTCGCAAGGGGTCTCTTAGATTTCCTGTGGAAACTCGGCTCCGAGCCGGGCTCCGTTCTATCTCACCACAAGTCGTATTTCTGCAGTTCCGCACGCCCCACAACCATGTGATGCACTTCATCTGGACCGTCAGCGAAGCGCAGATGGCGCATGTCGGTGTAAAGACCTGCCAGCGGTGTCCATTGAGATATACCCGCAGCGCCATGCATCTGAATGGCCTGGTCGATGATCAAACAGACCTTCTCCGGCACCATGGCCTTCACTGCGCTGACATAGACGCGGGCTTCCTTGTTGCCGAGGACGTCCATAGCCTTGGCAGCCTGCAATACCGCAAGGCGCATAGCGTTGATCTCGATACGTGCGCGCGAGATGACTTCAACATTTTTTCCCAGCTTCGCAATCGGCTTGCCAAATGCTTCGCGGGAGCCTGCGCGCTTGACCATCAACTCGAGCGCCTTTTCCGCCTTCCCGATGGACCGCATGCAGTGATGGATGCGACCAGGGCCCAGACGCACCTGAGAGATTTCAAAACCACGTCCTTCGCCCAGAAGCATGTTTTCTTTTGGTACGCGCACATTTGTAAATCTGATGTGCATGTGCCCACGCGGCGCATGATCTTCACCGAAGACCTGCATGCCTTCGAGAACTTCGACACCTGGTGTATCCATCGGCACAAGGATCTGTGACTGCTGTTTACTCGGTGCTGCATCGGGGCTCGTTTTCACCATGGTGATCATGATCTTGCAACGAGGGTCGCCTGCACCTGAGATATAGAACTTCTCACCATTGATGACCCATTCGTCACCCTCCAGCACCGCACTTGTGCTGATGTTTTTTGCGTCCGAAGACGGGAGATTTGGTTCCGTCATGGCATAAGCAGAACGGATCTCGCCGTTCAAGAGTGGTTTCAGCCACTGTTCTTTCTGCGCTTCGGTGCCGACACGTTCCAACACTTCCATGTTGCCGGTGTCTGGCGCGCTACAGTTCAACGACTCGGATGCGAGCGGTGATTTGCCGAGCTCTGCGGCAATGTAAGCGTAGTCCAGGTTGCTGAGACCTGCCCCAGATTCATCATCAGGCAAAAAGAAGTTCCAGAGACCAGCTTCCTTCGCCTTGTCTTTGGCGTTCTCCAAAAGTTCCAGCTGGCGCGGATGCCAGCTCCAGCGATCTTCTTTCTCGTCATTGAGTTTGATGAATTCTTCGGTGATCGGGTCGACATTCTCAACAATATGCTTTTGTACTGCATCCATGAGAGGTCGGGCCTCCTCGGACATTGCGAGCTGAAATAGGTCTGCATCAACGTCTGACATGTATTTCCTCCTGTTCAGAAGATTTTCTTTTTGAGTTGGTTTATGCCCGACAAGTTACACGTTTGAGCCCAGAAGCGAACCACGAATCTCGGCCCAGAAAGAGGCAGCTAGTCACTGACGCTCATCAGGCTGGTTTTTCAATGAGATAGCAGACAGATGCTTTGAATGTGTCACCAGGCTGCAGCACATGCATTTGATTGGGCTCACCAGGCCGGTTGAGCGCGTTGGGCATATGGGACATCGGTTCTGCACAGAAAAAATCCGCGCCGCTCGGCGCATAGACGTGGAGCAGACCCAGCTCTTCAGACGCTGTCAGGCTGACCCGAATATCATCGCTGGAGATCGTTAGTTCGCCATCCCAGCTGGTGAAACAATGATCCAAGGGAACATCGACAGGGAGCTGACTTTGCGGCCAGTAGTCCGCCGGGCCGCCCACGCCATGATCTTCCGGCAGCCGGTCGTCCGCTATATTCCACCTCCCACCAACCTGCGCCCTAAAGCCATCTCCTGGTTTTCGTGGGAAATAGGGATGAAAGCCGAGGCCCGCTGGCATGGGAAATTCTGACTTATTTTGAATCTCCAAACGATGGACCAAGCGATTAGCCGATAGGCCGTAATGTTGCGTGGCCTCAAAAGCCCATGGCCAGGTGCCGTCGGTCGGTTCATGCCTGTAGGAAAGTTCGGCGGAGACTCCATCACGAGCTTTCACCTTCCACGGTGACACCCAGCCTTCTCCGTGCAGCGCGTGAGGTTCTCCGGCAAACGGGGGTGTCAGTTTAAGGGTCTGCTCGGCTAACGTCGCGCGCCCATGAGCGATGCGATTACAATAGGGAAGAAGAACAAATGCAGCCGGGTCGGTTGGTGCTGCAATCTGTGCGGGTGCAGGCTTCAAGACAGGTTCACCAAACCCCTCGAACGAAACGATCCCGCCCCCATTGGAAGGCGAGATCATCAAATCTAAATCAGAGTTGTGAAGACGTAAGTCCGTCACTCAGTCCGCCTTTTATTCGGCAGCTTGAACCGCATCCGACTCTCTACTGTCAGCGATCAATCGATATTCCGAAAAATCAGGATCATGCATATCGTTCAGGTAGCGGTCTGGCGAAAAGGGATAGAGATTGGGCACACCTGATTTGTCGAAGTACCAACTGTCGCAGCCGCCGCTGGCCCATACTGTTGTCGGCACGCGGGCTTGCATCTCTGCATTATAGGCGTCAAAGGAAGTTTGTTTTGGCGCGATGCCTTCCAGGCCTTCGTCACGCATCTTGTTGAGCATGGCGATTACATAGTCAACTTGATGCTCTGTAATTGTAATCAGAGACAGATTGCCGACAGGGCCGGTCGGCCCTTCCAGCATCCAGAAATTAGGGAAACCAGGCATGCCAACCGCTCGATGCGCACGGGGTGAGCCATCCCATGCCTCACCCAGATCACGGCCGTTTTCGCCGGTCACCTTCGTGGGCAGGATAAAGGACGTGGCGTCAAAGCCCGTTGCGAGAACCAGAACATCCAGTTCGTGGGTTTTGCCGTCGACCGTCTTAATCCCTTCCGGGACGATACGTTCAATCCCTTCGGTAATGAGATTGGCATTGTCACTGGTAATCGCGGGATAAAAGTCCGAGCAGAAAATCAGACGTTTACAAGCCGCCTGATAGTCCGGTGTAAGTTTTGCGCGAAGCTCCGGATCTTTCACCGCATCTTCCAAATGTTTGGAACAAGCTTCCTGGATCTTCGCGAGTTCCTTCTGGTCGCCAACAGTGGCCTGACCAAAATGCTTCACCATCGTTTTGAAATAAAAATTGTAAGTGAGTTTCTGAAGGGCTGGGAATGTGCGCATCAACCACTTTGTGATGCCCAGATATTCCCGCTGTGGCAGGGGAATCATCCATTGTGGCGTCCGCTGGAACACGTTCATCGTTCCGACCTTACTTGTGATCGCACCGATGATCTGCGCAGCCGTAGAACCAGTACCAATAATGCCGACCTTGCGCCCTTCCAATGGCACCGAGTGATCCCATCTGGCTGTATGGAACATGTCGCCTTCAAAGCTATCTAGACCCTCTATCTTTGGGAGAACAGGGTTGTGCAAAACACCGGTTGCTGAGATGACGATGTCATATTGCTCTACCTCGCCCGCACCCGTGGTCAGCCGCCAGTGTGGAGCCGCATAGGTCAGGTCTGTGACAGGCGTGTTGAATTTCACAATGTCCGTGACACCGAAATCGTTTGCCGTCTTTTCCATATAGGCCTGAATCTCAGGACCATAGGAGAAGCGATGAGTCCAATCTGGATTGAGCGCGAAAGAAAAGGAATACCAGCGTGAGGGCACGTCGCAGGAGAGACCGGGATACTGGTTTTCCCGCCACGTACCGCCAACCTTGTCTGTCTTTTCATAGACGGTCAGATCCGTGTAACCGGCCTTCCTCAGTTTCACCACAGCGGCAATGCCCGACATGCCAGCGCCGATGATCGCCACCCGAGGCTGTGTCCCCGCCTTCGCCCAGCTTGCCCCCCGATCAGCACCTGGGCCAGCAGACATTTCATTCACATGCACGTTCATACAGGTGTCCTCCCTCGTCGCTCCTATCACCACGATAGTACATAAAGAATGATCCACTATTGACGGTCTGTCAATAAGCCACTTACACTAGGCTCGCGATGGGGGACAGCCTTCTTCGCAGCGTTCAAAGACCGCAGGAATGAGCCAAAAATGCCGGGCAAACCCCAAAGAAGAAGACGCACGCCGGAAATGGCCCGCGAGGAGATTATCGACGCGACAGTCGCGGCATTGGAAGATGTCGACTTCGGATCGCTGACGGTCGACGTCATTATGCGGCGCACTGAGATGACCCGATCCTCCTTCTATCACTACTTTAAAAGTGTAGATGAGTTGGCATTGGGCTTTATGGACAGGTTTGAAGAAGCTATCCGAGTCCCTGTCGATGACTGGCTCGACGGCAATGGCAGCGATAACTATTTGGCCGATACACAAGATCACCTGACAGACATGTTCGTGGCGATGGAGGCGCACCATACTGCTATGCGCGCTTTGGAACAGGCATCCAATAACAGCGCGCAGGTCTATAGCGAGTGGCGGGAGCGGATCATCGACTACTTCATTGAGAAGACAGCCCGCTTCATTCGTCAGCAGATCATGCTCGGACGATCGAAAGTTACTGACCCTGATCGCACAGCCCGTGCGCTCATTCTCATGAACAATGCACTCGCGAATGACAATATGCTTCGTACGGAACCAGACGATGCCAACGCGATAGGCAAAACCTCCGCTGGCATCTGGAACGCGACAATTTACAGCCAATAGTTCAACGCCCGCGAGGGCGAACCCCTTGTGCATATCTCAAAGACGTATCACGATGTCGGTGTAGCGACATTGAAGGATACCCAATGCCCCGATTTGTGAGCGTTTATGTGCGCACGGTCGACGCCATCAACTATCGCATCGGGCGCGTGATGATGTATGGCATCTTTGTGATGATGGGCATTCTGCTTTGGTCATCCATTTCCAAGACCTTCTTCCTGCCTTCGCTATGGACGCTCGAACTCGCGCAGTTTGCCATGGTCACCTATTACATTCTAGGCGGTCCCTACTCTATTCAACTTGGTTCGAATGTGCGCATGGATCTCTTCTATGGCAATTGGTCGGTTCGTAAGAAAGCCTGGTTCGATAGCTTCACCGTGTTGCTGTTGATCTTCTATCTAAGCGTATTGCTCTATGGCGCGATAGACAGCACCAGCTACTCCCTGCAATACGGAGAACGCAACCCGACCGCATGGCGGCCCTACCTTTGGCCGATCAAATCCATCATGACGGTTGGTTTTTTCCTGATGCTGCTGCAAGCAACCTCTGAGCTTCTTAAGGACATTGCGGAAATACGCGAGGTTAAGCTCTGATGTCCTACGAGCTGATCGCGATCGTAATGTTCTCCTCAATGATGCTGATGCTCATGACGGGTCAGCGCGTTTTTGGTGCCATAGGGGCCGTTGCTGCCATTGCTGCACTGACGCTCTGGGGAACAGGCGGCTCGCTTATTCCCTTTTCCTCTGCCATGAAACTGATGAAGTGGTACCCCCTTCTCACCCTACCCATGTTTATTTTCATGGGCTATGTGCTGTCTGAATCCAAGATTGCCGATGATCTCTACAAGATGTTTCATGTCTGGATGGGGCCGGTAAATGGCGGACTTGCCATCGGCACCATCAGCCTCATGGTGCTCATCTCTGCTATGAATGGGCTTTCGGTTGCAGGCATGGCAATTGGTGCGACCATCGCATTACCGGAACTCCTGCGCCGCGGCTATGACAAGCGAATGGTGACCGGGGTTGTGCAAGCGGGCTCTTCGCTCGGCATTCTCGTCCCTCCGTCGGTTGTTCTGGTCCTCTATGCGATGATTGCCCGGCAGCCAGTGGGGCAGCTATGGCTTGCGGGTGTCCTTCCCGGACTCATGATGGCAGCAATGTTCATTGCCTATATCTACATCCGCTGCCGCATCAATCCATCGCTGGGCCCGGCCCTTCCAGAGGACGAACGTAATGTGCCGCTGGCTGAGAAACTCCGTCTCTTGCGTGCAGGTCTGCTCCCAGTTGGCATTTTTGCGGTCATGATGGTGCCCTTTGTAAATGGATGGACCTCGCTGGTTGAAAGCTCTGCCATTGGGGCGCTAGCCGCATTCTTTGCAGCCATCCTCAAGCGACGCATGACACGGGACGTCTTTGAGACCTCTCTGCGCCAGACGCTCGCCATCTCCTGCATGTTCATGTGGATCATTTTGGCCGCCATGGGGTTCGGCGCAGTGTTCGACGGTCTTGGTGCCGTTCGCGCAATCGACAATCTGTTCACAGATCAGCTGGGCCTCAACCCCTGGATGATCCTCATCTTGATGCAGCTCAGCTTTTTACTGATGGGGACGTTTCTGGATGACACAGCGATGCTCGTTATTGTTGCACCGCTTTATGTCCCCCTCGTCGGCGCGCTTGGCTTTGATCTCGTTTGGTACGGGATTCTCTACACAATCACCACACAGATCGCCTATATGACGCCGCCCTTTGGATATAATTTGTTCCTTATGCGCGCCATGGCCCCGCCAGAAATCAGCCTGCGCGACATTTATGGTTCCATCTTTCCTTTTGTTATGGTGATGTTATTGGCCCTGACATTGATCATGGCCTTTCCGCAGATCGCCCTCTGGCTACCGGAGGTTGTTTACGGAAATTAGGAAGAGGTTCAAAAGGAGCCGCCTGCGTATCACTGCCCAATACCCTGAGCGAGTATCCAATCGACTAACAAGGAGACGAGATATGACGACCAGACGTAAGTTTCTCACCACTGCCGGTGTTGCTGGTGCCGCCACGTTGGCTGCTCCCGCCGTTCATGCAGACACAACCATCCGTTGGCGCATGCAGACATATGCGGGACCTGCTCTAGCAGAACATGTGATCAAGCCTGCCATTGATAGTTTTAATAAGATCGCTGGCGATGAGATGCAGATCGAACTCTTTTTTGCTGATCAGCTTGTCCCTACCGGCGAGCTTTTCCGCGCCATGCAAAGCGGCACCATCGACGCTGTACAATCCGATGACGATTCCATGGCGTCGCCCACGGAAGTGACCGTGTTTGGCGGATATTTCCCATTTGCCTCTCGCTACTCCCTCGATGTGCCTGTCTTGTTCAATCAATATGGTCTCAACGAAATCTGGGATGAGGAATATTCAAAGGTCGGCGTGAAACATCTCTCTGCTGGTGCGTGGGACCCGTGCCACTTTGCGACCAAAGACCCCATCCGAAGCCTTGAAGATCTAAAGGGCAAGCGCGTCTTCACCTTCCCGACGGCTGGACGTTTTCTCAGTCAATTTGGCGTCGTGCCCGTGACACTTCCGTGGGAGGATATTGAGGTTGCGGTGCAGACCGGTGAGCTGGATGGTGTCGCCTGGTCTGGCATCACCGAGGACTACACAGTCGGCTGGGCCGATGTCACCGACTATTTTCTCACCAACAATATCTCAGGCGCGTGGGCTGGCTCCTTCTTTGCGAACATGGATCGCTATAATGAGCTGCCAGATCACCTGAAAGAGCTGCTCAAAATCACTATGGATAGCTCCCACTATTATCGCCAGTGGTGGTATTGGGGTGGTGAAGCTTCCCTCCGTGTAGACGGCACTAAGATGCAGCTCACCTCTATTCCAGATGAAGAGTGGGCGACGGTGGAAGCAGCCGCTCTCGTCTTCTGGGATGAGATTGCGGCCGAGTCAGCAACCAAAGCGAAGGTCGTTGAGATCTTCAAGAAATACAATGCGGATATGCAGAAGGCCGGACGTCCTTACCGCTACAGCTAAATTGGTCTCAGGGGCGCCCCATAGGCGCCCCTGTTGACTTTTGGATCCTTACATTGCGGCCAGTGTCTTCTTCTTGATTTTCTTGGCCAGCGACCATTTGTGGACTTCGGTCGGCCCGTCATATATGCGGAAGGCGCGGATCTCCCGAAACAATTGTTCAACGATGGTATCGCCGGACACACCCATGCCACCCATCACCTGAACACACCGGTCTGCCACGCGGAAAAGCGCTTCCGACACAGACACCTTCGTCATAGAACTTTCAACATTCCCGTCTTCACCACGGTCGAGCGTCGCTGCACACCAATCGATCATCAATTCGGACTGTTTAAGGTCGATTTGATTTTCCGCTAGCATGAAGCCCACACCTTCATGATCAATCAGAAGCTTGCCAAACGCTTCGCGGCGGCAGGCATATTCCGTCGCAATTTCCTGTGCCCTGACCGCGACACCATACCAGCGCATGCAATGGGAAAGCCTTGCCGGCGCGAGCCGGACTTGCGCAAAGCGGAAGCCTTGCCCCGGTTGGCCCAGCATTTGATCGGCAGGCACACGCAAATTGTCGATGGTGATTTCTGCGTGTCCGCCCGGCATGGAGCTGTCAATCGTCTCCAGCACACGGGTGATTTTGATCGCCGGGTCGGGCAGATCCACCAAGAACATACAGGCGCCGTCAGAAGAGTTTGCCATGACGATGCCGACCTTTGCGCCGTCAGCCCCGGTGATGTAGGTCTTCTTGCCGTTGATGACCCAATGATTGCCATCAAGCTTGGCCTCCGTCTGCATCATGGACGGATCGGACCCGGCGCCGCCGTCAGCAGACGGTTCGGTCATGAAGAATGCTGATCTTGCTTCGCCGCTCACCAGCGGTGCCAGGAAACGCGCCTTCTGCTCTTCACTTCCGGCTTTGCCAAGCAGGAACATGTTTCCCTCATCCGGCGCCATTGTGTTGCAGGCGACAGGACCGAGCGGGGATAGGCCTGACTTCTTGAGGATGTAAGCCGTCTCAACCTGGCTGTAATGTCCGCCATCTTTCCTGATGTGCGGTGTCATGACATCGGCATTGATCGCCTTGTCTCGCATTTCCCGAACGAGCTCTTCGGTAGGCCCATGGGACCCTGCGCGGGGATCTTGTTCGTAGGGGGCAATTTCTTTCCGTACGAAGGTCTCCACGCGGTCACCAATTTCACGCGCAGCGTCTGAGATGGAGTCAGTCATTCTGATCGATACCTGTTCTTGAGTTTTAGTTTGAAATCGTTTGTGCGGCGGCGCCCATGGCTATAGGCCTCCGACAGTGTAACAACATTGCTGCCTCATCGCTTTTTCCCTGCCGGGCGAGTGCACTTGCCATAGCGAGTTCAATCAGATCTCTCTGTGCACGGCTGCCGCCGATCCGTGCATGGTCGGACATCGATTTTGTTAGATGTTCGGTCGTGAGCTGCCAATCTTGCTTTGCAATTGCTTGAAAGGCTTCCGCTAGACTCCGCACAAAATCTTCAGCCGGTCCGTTTGCCTTTTCGACGATTGTTGCAACACCTTCTGCGTTGCCTGCCATCGCGTGGGCGAGCGCGGCGTGAACATCTGCAAAGGCGAGCCTTGGTTTTGCAAACCGTGCTGTCGCATATTCACTGATGGCTTGCCACCGTTCCGGTGCGACCTCCACACCCGCAAGCTCCGCGCGGTAGAGAAGCGCCGGCATATCGGTGACGATATTGAGCGCTGGACCAGAGCTTGTTTTCGGATCAATTGCAGTATCCGCCACCTCCCACATGGTCTTCACGTCACCTGCGGCCAACGCCCAAAGGGCAATGTGCCAGGACAGGTGACAGTGCATGACACCCTGCCGGTCATAGTCCTTTATCCAGTCTTTCAGGTAGGCAAGCCCCGCTGTGGTTTCTCCCAATTCATAGTAGAGGTGTGCCCTATGGTGAGAGCCATTTGCATTTCTTGGGTTGATCGCCAGAGAACGCTCGATAGATCGCGCCGCCGGCTGCAACTGTCCTGCTTCCATCTGAGAAAATGCGTGGGTGGAAAGGAACCACCAATCGTCGCCATAGTGTGGCGCCAGCATTGATGACAGAGCGAGGTTCTCCGCTTCCCGCCCCGGCTGCCCACCAAATCCAATCAGGCTGAACACACCAAGACAGGCCTGAGCGATCATGACATCGCGGGGAAACTCCTGCAGGTGGGCCTTGGCTTGCGCATAAACGCCTTCGCTTTTGCCCTCGAGAAGTGATCCGATGATCGCCAGATGCCCTTGTTCCCTTGAGCTCAAGCCCTCAGCGCAGGCTTTCGCGGCGGCATAGGGCTCACGCCCGCTGACGCCACGCCCTTCGACCTGACGGTTGCGGGCAATGGCGAGATGCGCCAGAGCGAAGTTTTCGTCTTCCGCAACCGCTTCCTGAAACGCCTCTTCAGCGCCTGGGGTTGCGGCGAGATTGCATTCAAGTCCCCGGACATAGGCGTCCCGCGCCTTTACCGAGCTGGTCGTCAGCGGGTTTCCATATTGATCTTTTTGCATGCACAACTCCCAACCTGCGCCATCTTCGCGCGATAGGATTGAAACATACCATAAAGCCCCGCCACGACCGACATGATGACATCACATCAGAAGGCGAGACGTTGAAACCTGACTAGGCGGTCGCATTGCCGTCGGGGTTAGCTGACGGTTTTCTGGTCGCCAATGCCAGGGCACAAACCAACCCAACACCTAGCTCAAACACCGTGACCGCCATAAGGTTTGACGATGGCAAGCCATCAACAAACATGCTCACCAGGCGGGAAGCACCGTAGGAGAGATAGAGAACCGTCGACAGTAAAAGGGCAGTGAAGGTGAGCAGCGAGACGAACGCGCCAGCCAAGACAATGAGTGCGCAGGCAAGGAGAGCACCGCCTGCAGCCCGCATTTCGCTCAACAGGTTTTCATTACTCCCTACAACTATCCCGCTGGTGGCATGAAACTCGGCGGGTACAAACAGGATAGCGCCCCCAATACCCACACCAATCAGGCCCGTTACAAAGAGAAGTGCTTTCAGTCGCAATGTGCGTTCCATCATCATAATCCTTTCAAGAAATACTTCTGTTAGCCCTGTACAAGCTGCAGGCAGGCGTTGAGGTAAAGGACGGCAGCGACAGCTGAGGCAATGCCGCGCACCCAGTTCCAGAATGTCCAGCGGGGGTAGTAAATGTCTGTCCAATAGGCGGCCCCTTCGGGACTGTCATAGGCCTTCATCGCGAGCTTCGTGTTCATCGGCACATTGAAGACGAGCGTGACCCCTGCAACGCCTACCGAATACACAATCGCTGCCCAGAGGATGAAGGTACCGCCGCTGCCCAGCGCGCCAAGGTAAGCTGCAGCACCCAGGGCGGCAGCGACCGCCCACATGCCAATCAACAAAACCATGAAGATGGTTTTGAACACCTCTCGATTGATCCCCTGCATCACTTCTACGCCCGCACTTGTTGTGGCGCCGTTCAAGGACCTCATGACAAAGTCAGAAAATGTCAGAAAGACACCGGCAATTAGGGCACAGGAGATGAGAGAAGTTTGATAGATAAGAAGAAGCCATGTCTGCGTCATGTCACGCTCCCTTAGCGGTTTGTGTTAGTAGGAAAGTCCGGGGAATTTGCGCAGGTACGCGTCACTGTCCAGTTGCTGCAGCATTGCGCCCGCGACATCAGCCCGCGATATTTTGAGCGCCAAGCCGCTCTCGGACTGAGGAAAGCCAAGCTTGTAGCTGCCGGTCACCGGACCATCGGTAAATGCAGCGGGACGAACAGTGATCCAATCAAGCTTGCTTTGCCGGATGATGGTTTCCTGCTCTTCATGGTCAGCCATGGCCTGTTTCAGCAACCAGCCAAACATGATGTGCTTCCAGAAGAAATTGAGATGAATGTGACTGTCGCCAGCGCCCAGAGTAGTTTGGCAAACAAGGCGACGCACCTTGTGACGCTCCATTGCATCGATAATGTGCTTCGTTCCTTGAGCGCGAACGCCACCCTTCCGTCCCGCGCCAAGAGCGATGAGGGCTGCGTCATGCCCTTTGACCGCTGCGTCGATGGCTGCCGGATCAAGCACATCCCCCTCTACCAAACGCAAGTTTTGATGATGTTGGTCCAACGCAGAAGCATCGCGCAGAAAGGCGGTTACGTCTTCGCCCTGAGCAAGCGCCTGGTCGACCAGATGACGCCCCAAAGACCCTGTTGCTCCAAAAATGATGATCTTCATGGTCAGCTCCTAACTTTACACGGCGTCAATTGACACGACGACAAGTAGGCGTTACTAGACACCATGTCAAGTGAATCAAAATCGACTCGCGAAAAAATCCTGTCTGCCAGTCTGGAATTGCTGGAATCCGGCCAGGGAAACAGGGTCCGTATGTCCGATATTGCGGCCAAAGTTGGTATTACCCGGCAGGCGCTTTACCTTCATTTTCGAAACCGCGGGGACCTGCTCATCGCCACAACCCATTATGTGGATGAGCTTCACGGGGGCGATGAACGGCTCATCCCGAGCCGGACAGCCAAGACCGGGATAGAGCGGCTGGAGGCCTTTATCAGCGCCTGGGCAGGTTTCCTGCCAGAGATCTACGGGATCGGAAAAGCGCTGCTGGCCCTGCGCGACACTGACCCGGAAGCCGCCGCCGCGTGGGACAAGCGGATGCAGGATATGCGCGAAGGCTGCGAGGCCGCCATCCTGGCGCTGGCACGCGACAAGACACTTACAGCTGACTATTCCCCGGAACAGGCGACTGACATTTTATGGACGCTGCTGTCTCTCAGAAACTGGGAGCAGCTCACAGTCGAGTGCGGCTGGTCGCGCGCTGACTATACGGATCACATGCATTCTATGGCGCGCCGCCTATTCGTTGCCGAGGTGCACTGACAAGCTAGAATCCTAGAAGCCGCGCGTAGCGGTCTCGGTGATAGGACTGATTCCCGTAAAGCGTCTCAAGAACACGCGCCCGTTTGAGGTAAAGGCCCGCATCAAACTCGTCGGTCATGCCAATACCGCCATGTATCTGGATCAGCTGATTGGACATGGTGTGGAGAAAGTCTCCAACCTTCGCTTTTGAAAGAGAACAGGCTTTAGCCACACTGTTGCTCTGGGCGTCGATCTCCTGAAGCGCCGCCTCTCCACATGAGCGCGCTAGTTCCATCGCCGCAAACAGTTCCGCTGCCCGATGGCCCAACGCCTGAAAAGATCCGATGACAGCACCAAACTGTTTGCGCGTCTTAAGGTAATCAAGCGTCATGGCAAAGGCCTGCGACCCGACACCCAGCATCTCTGCGCCTATGCCTGCTCGCGCGCGGTCCAGTATTTCGTCCAACACTTCCCCAGCCTGACCAGCCGGTCCCATGAGGTCCGCATCTGAGACCTCGACACCGTCAAAATTTAATTCTGCGTAGCCGCGGCTGTCCATGGTTTTCATTGCACGCCGAGATAGTCCCGCCGCGTCCGCAGGGACAATAAAGAGAGAGAGGCCTTGTGCCTCCCCCACTTTTCCGGTGGAGCGCGCAACGACAAGGAAATGCGTCGCAGACATGCCTTCTAAAACCAGCGTCTTTGATCCTGTGAGAACATGTTTGCCTCCTTCAGATTTCGCTTCCAGCGCTGTACGCGCGGGCGCATGGCGTGGCCCCTCGTCAACGGCGAGCGTCACAATTTCTGTGCCGTCTACGATACGCGGCAGATGGCTCGACTTTTGTGCCTCTGTACCTGCAAGAAGCAGAGCGGTGGCGCCAACATAGGCCGAGGCAAACAGTGGGGACGCGGCCAACTGCTTACCCAGCTCCTCAAGAACCAGCCCGAAGGTCAGATAGCCAAGATCTGATCCGCCATATTCTTCCGGCACCAGGATGCCCGTCCAGCCCATTTCCACCATGGCGGACCAGGTGGGCTCTGCGAATCCGATATCGGTTCCTTCGTTCCGCATCGCGCGGAATTTAGAGACCGGCGCTTCGGCGCTCGCCCAAGAGGTCGCCTGATCCTTGATAAGCGTTTGTTCTTCTGTGAGTGCAGCCATGATCGTTTCTTAAGCCCCGTTAGCCTTGCTGTGTCGTTTCTGGGAGGCCCAGAATGTTTTTGGAGATGATATTGTTTTGGATCTCAGCGGATCCACCATAGATAGACATGGCTTTGCCCATCAGCCAATCGCGGACGCTCCGCAATTCTTCTTCCGAGAATTGCTCGCCTTCCCAACCGATGCCCTGATTGCCCATCATCTCGAGTGTCAGTTCTGCTTTGGTCTGCGCAACCCTGGTCATTGAGTTTTTGAGGATCGATGCCGCTGCGCTCACCTTCACCTGACCTTTTGCTTCTGCGGTGATGCGGGAGACGGTCAGCTTGTGGGCTTCCGCATCCATGAGATTTTCCACCACGCGCAGGCGCAGGTCCGGATCCGCAAGCGTTCCGTCTTCCAACGTTCCTACATAGCGCTTCGCCTGTTCCTGCAAAGGCTCCTGGTCAATTTTTACTGCGGCAGGCGCCGACGTCTGGCTTTGGCGCTCGTGTTGCAGTAAGCGCTTCACGACGCTCCACCCGTCATTGAGATCGCCCAACAGATCGCTCTTGTCTGCGCGCGCGTCGTTGAAGAAGGTTTCACAGAACGGAGACGCGCCAGAAATCAGCTTAATGAGGCGTGTTTCAACACCCTTTTGATCCATTGGCAACATGACAAAACTGATGCCATCCCGCTTCTTCGCCTTTGGATCAGTTCGCACGACAGCGCCACACCATTGCGATATGTGTGCGCCAGAGGTCCAGATTTTCTGGCCGTTGAGAATGAAGGCATCGCCTTCATCCACGGCCTTGGTGTTCAGAGATGCCAGGTCAGACCCTGCATTGGGTTCCGACAGCCCCAGGCACCAGCGAACTTCTCCGCTTGCAATGCCGGGAAGGTGCTTTGCCTTCTGCTCCTCAGTTCCGTATTCCAGGATTGTCGGGCCAACCATGGTTACGCCCATGCCTGTCATCGGCGGAATTGGATTGAAGGCACCGGCTTTGGCGATTTCCTGACGAATGACTTTGGCTTCAGGGTCGCTTCGCCCGGCACCACCATATTCTTTGGGCCAAGTCGGCGTGCCCCAACCTTTGTCAGCAAGAGCCTGGCGCCACGCCCGGAACTCACCACTCACTCCTTTGTCGCTGGGGCTGTCTGCCCCAAGATCAAAGCCCTTGAGTGCGGAAGGAAAATTACTCTGCACCCATTCGGATACTTCTGATCGGAAACCGTCCAGATCACTTGCTGCGGTCATTGTTTGCCCCTTGATATGTCTGTGGCGAGCATTTGGCTTGCGCCACCATATCAAAGTCTGGCCAATAGTTTAGCCTCTCATGCAAATGACCGATGCCGCTGCGTCAAATCAGAGGGCCATCGCGTCCGGCTAGCGCCCCATCTGCAGATTGTCGAATTACACGTGCTGGCGACGATCAATCATCGACAACGCAGACCCTGACAGCGCGACATTGTGTCGAGCGGACCTGTGTAATTATGGAGGTGACATCGACCGGGCAATCCTCCCAGGCCGTTCTAGAACAGACATAGGAGCCATGTGCCTGCAGTGCATCTGTGTTTTCTTTGAACCAATTCATGCCTACCCCAAAACCATACCCAACCAGACCGCCGGCAGTTAGCGTTTGGACCGCCTTCTATAATCTGTACATTACCTGTTTAGCAGGCGGAATACCCATCCTGCCAATGCCTGGAGGACTGCATGAATAGCTTAGCGATTTGTCACACCGCCTTACAACGGGTGTTGGGTGGCCTTTTGTTTCTCATCACCCTTTCACTGCCGCTCCAAGCAGAGACCGCCCTTTCAGACACTGAGATCATCGCAAAGGCAGAGGCAATCCACACCGACGCACTGGTGCTTGACGCTCATGCAGACATCGTAATTCCGTCGACTTCGCTCAGCTATCTTGGGGAGGGCGGCGTTTCAAAAGTCAGCCCTGAGAAACTGACCATCGGCGGCGTCAACGCTGTGGTCATGTCGATTGCTGTCGGACCGGGGCCCCGCACACCTGAAGGCGACGCGGAAGCCCGCACAATTGCAGATGAGAAGCTCGCCGCTGCACTGAAGCTCGTTGAAGAATCCAATGGCCACGTTGTGCTGGCAACATCGGCCGCGGAGATTGAAGCGGCGAAAGCGGCCGGCAATCCTGCGATCATCCTGGGATTCCAGAATGCCCGATCCCTTGAAGGCGATGTAGGCGTACTCGACTATTTCTATGATGCAGGAGTTCGCGTGTTTGGACTCAACCATCTGGGCCACAATGATTTCTCGGACTCGTCGCGTCCCATCTATGACGGGTCCACCAAGTCATACGAACCAACAGAAGAGCATGGCGGTCTTTCGCCTCTCGGCATTGCTGCTATTGAGCGCATCAATGCGCTTGGCGGGGTGGTCGATATTTCACAAATGTCGAAGGCTGCTGCATTGCAGGCTATCTCCTTGTCCCGATCGCCGGTGATCGCAAGTCATTCCAATGTTCGGGCCATCTCAAACGTCACCCGCAATCTATCGGACGAAGAGATTGACCTTATCGGCGAGAAGGGCGGCGTCATTCATGTGGCTGCCTTCGGTGCCTACCTGGTCGCACTCTCAGATCCCGACACCCTTGCAGCGGTCAAAGCCGTCCGTATCAAAGCCGGCCTTCCAGAAGAGTATTCCTACCCCTATGAGCTTTATTGGGAGTTGGAAGACCCAACGGCTCAACGTGCCTTTCTGGTTGAAATGCGCTCAACCATCGGGCGCGGGAGTGTTTCGGATATGATTGCCCATATTGACTATATCGTTGACCGCATTGGCACCGATCATGTCGGCATTGGGAACGACTTTAACCACGGCAGCAGCATTGAGGGCTACACGGACGCCAGCGAGGCGTTGAATGTCACCATTGCTTTGGTGCGGGCTGGCTATTCGGCTGAAGATATTCAGAAAATCTGGGGTGGTAACTTTCTGCGGGTTCTTAAAGAAGCCGAGCATGGCGCGACCATCGACTGACCCCGCACTCGCCTGGTCCGAGCGCAGGTCGCGCATTCATCCGGCGCTCAGCATGGGTCTATTATGTTGCGTGCCCAGACTGTAGACTGGATCATCAATAACTGAGTGCCGCGCAGGCGGTGCAGGCTGGAGGCGTTACATGGATAGCACCTGGATTTTTCTCATCATTATCGGCGTGGTCGCGGCAATCGGCTATTCCTTGTATGTGTCGGTTATCCAAAAGCGAAACCGGGCACGCAACGCTTTTTCGACAATTGATGTCCAACTGAAAAAGCGACATGACCTGATCCCCAATGTCCTCAAGATCGCAAAAGAGACGATGAAGCAGGAGATGTCTCTCATCGAAGAGGTGACACGGCTTCGGACCGCCACTGAGACCCCGACGGACACCGACGATCCGGACGCCATCAAAAGCCGCCTGGAAGCAGAATCCGGTCTCGCGCAAAGCATGCGCCAATTGTTTGCTGTCGCAGAAAACTACCCAGAACCTCGCTTCGTTGAAGCGATGAAAACCGCTCAAGAAACTTATCAGGAAGTGGAAGGACACATCTCCGCTGCTCGGCGCTTCTACAATTCAGCGGTCGAAGATCTCCAGAATGCCGTTGAGATCTGGCCGTCGTCGACGATTGCTGCTTTAGCTGGTGTCAAAGCCATGCCGTTCTTTGAGATAGATGAGATGGAGCGGAAACCTATTGACGCAGACGACATCCTGTCAGGTTAGATCTGGGCCAACACCCTTCCTGTAAACTTCCAGGCCGAAGTCATGAGCCCCTATAGTTTCGATCCGAATTTGTTCGACGAGCTGGAACAAGAGCGACTGGAAGCCTTGAGTTGGCGCAAGAAGGTTTGGCTGTTCGGCGTGCCTCTTGTCGCCGCCGCCTCCATCGTTTCTGCGATGTTTTTTGGACCAGAAGGGCTGATCGCTGCTGTTGTAGGAGCGGGCCTCACCTACATGATCGCTGAGTTCAAACTCTTCGAGCTCAAAGAGCGGATGAAGACAGATATCCTGTCTCACATGGCGGAAGCCCGTGGCTGGCGCTTTGATGCAGACGGACCACCTGAAAGCGGCGTAGATATCTATAGCGATCTCGGTCTCCTAAGATCACACAATGAGCTAACCGTTGAAGACCTGTTTGAAGGGGAGCTTAATGGCGTTCGATTTGAGCTTTTCGAAGCGCTTGCCAAAATGCGGACCAAGAACCAAAAATCCGAAAGTGTCAGGACTGTCTTTTCCGGTCTTCTTGCCCGATTCAGTTTCCCAAAAGACTTTCAAGGATCAACGGTCGTTCTCACAGACTCCGGCTTTTTCAACTGGGCTGCCGGTTTCTCCCAAAAGGGTGAACGGGTTACGCTTGAAGACCCTGTGTTTGAAAAACAGTTTCAGGTCTATAGCAGCGACCAGGTCGAGGCGCGCTATCTGCTAACACCGAGCTTCATGCAGCGCCTGCTTGATATTCGCCAAGTGTTTCCTGATGCACAATTGCAAGCAGCCTTCGAGCGGAGCCATCTCTATCTTGCGATAGATACGAAATCCTCAAGTCGCGGTGAGTTGGGCTTTTTTGACGTGAAGGACATGAGCAAACCCATTTCGCAGCAGGGCGCTATCCAGCTCTTTGAAAGAGAACTCCAGGTTTTCGAGGATATTGTTAATGGCTTGAACCTGGACACATCCACGAAAATCTAGAGCGTCAGCTGAGGTGTTCGGGGCGGCTCAAGAATCATCTCCAGACTCATATTGCTCCGCGATCTGCGCGCCGAACTGAGACCCCAATTCGAAGAGTTTCTCCGGGTCGGAATGACGCAGTTTTGCCAGGTCCAGTTCCATGCCGCTGGCAAAGATTAGTTCTGGAACATTGTTGTCGACGGCTTCAAGGATCGCCCTTGCGCAATCCATCGGGTCATCCCCACCCTCAATCGCCGCATCCGATTTGCCGCGAATTGAGCCGCTGGCGGTAAAAGCGTTGCGGGACACATTGGTCGCAACAGACCCAGGCAGGACATTCGTCACATTGATATTGTGGCGCGCTGACACTTCTGTGCGCAGTGCATCCATGTACCCGATCAGTCCATGTTTCGCCGCCGCGTAGGCGGTGCGAAGCGGCGGACCGAAGCGACCAGCAACTGAGCTGATGGCGATGATATGGGCACCGCCCGCCTCAACCATCCGCGGCAATTGCAGCTGGGTCAGCCAAATTGGCGCGATCAGGTCAATATTGATGAGGTCCGTATAGACTTGCGGCGCCGTGTGAATTGCCAGGCTCCGTTGGCTCACCCCCGCATTGTTGACGAGCACATCTACCTTGCCCTTCCAGTCCCATGCTTTCACAACAATAGCTTCAAGCTCGCTATAGTCTGTTACCTCAAAGGGAAGCACGAGCGTTTCTGTTGGCAGCTGATCAGCAACTGCCTGCAGAGCATCTACGCGACGACCTGACAAAATTATGTCTGCACCGTTGGCGGAAAATGTCTTCGCCAGCGCCTCACCGATTCCTGATGATGCCCCGGTGATCCAAACGATTTTGTCAGAATATGTCGTCACGATTTATCCAATTCTTTATTTGAGCCATTTCAGCGGTAAGAATTATCTCGCACCGTATACCGATATAGGCTCAGAGAAACGTGAAAAGAAAGAGCCGAACATCAATCATTTTCGACTGAAAAAAACTGATCTTCATCTGAGATCAACGACCGCACGCCCTCTATGTCATTGATATCAACCCGTCCGTAGCGCAGCTTTATCAAGCGCTTCTCCTCCAACGTTTTGAGCGCCTTGCCGGTGGCAACTCTTGAGACCCCCAACATGAAAGCCAGGTCTTCCTGACGACATTCAATGCTCGCTTGGTTTTCGTTGGTGTCCACGGTTGCAAGCAGCAATCGGGCAACCCGAGCCTTCAGGGAAAACCGCCGCTGAGAATCGATGAAATTCATCATCTCATAATTGCGTTGAACCGTTAGTGTCAGCAAAGCACGAGCAATTGATGGCTCCTCATCGAACAAGTGGAAGAACACCTTTGCCTCCACAAACGTGATTTCTGCAGATCCGTGCGCCCATAAGGTGTGGGTGCGCCGCAGATCTGAGAACAGGGTCTGTTCGCCAAAGGTTTCACCTGCGCGCAGCAGGGCTGATGTGAGAAACGATCCGTCTTGTCCGACATTGCCCGCGATCACTTCACCGGTCTTGACGATTGTCAGGCCTGCACGTCTGTCGCCCCGGTCCTGGATCAACTGGCCGTCGGCGTATCGTTTTGTTGCCCCCATTGAGAGCAGCTGGTCCATGACTTCTGCCGGAAGCAAATCGCGGAGTGTTTTGCTCTTCGGACGCAGGACTTTCACTATTCGACCCCAAATGTAACTTTTTAGCATTCTAGGCTTGCCCCCCTCGGTATTGTCAAATTGGCTCCTATGGCGGGGGCGACTTCAGGGAGGAAAGACAATGAAAGTCTGGGGCGTTTCAGTTTCCTACTATACCGGCAAACTCGAGGCTTACCTTCGATACAAGGGCATCGCCTATGACATGGCGCATCCCTTCGCAGAGCAGCGATACATTCGTGAACGTGCCGGCGCGATCCAGGTGCCCATCGTGGAGCGGCCCGATGGACGCTGGATGTCTGACAGCACGCCGATCATTCAACAGCTGGAATCCGAATATCCTGACCGGCCCGTCATGCCGAGCGATCCGGTCGTTCGCTTTATCGCCCTTCTTATAGAAGATTATGGAGACGAATGGTTGTGGCGGTCTGCCATGCACTACAGATGGAGCTATGAGCATGATCGGGAACTCCTCTCCCGAATTCTTGCCGACGAGCTCACAACGCACCTTCGCTTGCCGCGCTTTTTTCGGCGACGCCTGGTCAAGAAGCGCCAACATACTTTGTTTGTTAAACGAGATGGCGTCACCAAGGACACCTGGGATCATGTGGAATCGGGTTTTTTCAATGCCATGCGCGGTATGCTTTCCATGCTCGACAACAGGCCCTATCTGCTCGGAGAGACACCCTCAATTGCTGACATTGGGATGATGGGGCCAATGCTTCGGCATTTCGGGCAAGACCCCACCCCCGCCGCGATAATGCGCAATGACTGGCCCGCCATGGCCGAGTGGGTGGCGCGGGTTTGGAATGCGCATGCGACCGCCGGCGAAACGTCCCTCCTGGATGCGGTCCCGGACGATGCAGGCCCGCTGCTCAAAGAGATTGCTGAGACCCACCTGGTTCAGTTGAAAGAAAATGCGCTTGCCTATGGCCAAGGCCAAAAACAGTTTGAGATGACCGTACAAGGCTGTGCCTACAAAGAAATGCCCGTGTCGCGATACCGGGTTTATTGTCTCGAGCGCCTGCGCGAAGAGTTTGCAAACCTTAGCGAGGACAATCAACGGAAGGTGAAGGCCTTGCTCCCACAGGAAGAATACACACTGATCTGGGATCCTTCTGTCGAAGCCAATTCAGGATATGACGTGGAGCGGGCTGCGCCTTTCAACAAAGGCATCAATGTCCTGGAAACCGGTTAGGGCAAATTTGCTATGGCAGGGCGCTGGCCCAGCTTTCGCAAGAAATCTTCTTGAACGACACCTGATTGGACGACCAAGAATGACGGCGCCGGGTGCACTGCGCATCCCGCGCAGCCCCCAAAGGGATTGGCTTACAGATCCAGAGATGAGGCATGTTTTGCCACAAATCTAGTCGTCGAAACCGACGAACACCGTCGCGTCCTCGACGCTCTTGCGTTCTGATACCACTTCGTTGGCCGGGAAGCTGTCATCAGGCCAGCCGAGTGCAACAGCTTTCATGATGACTTGATCATCGGCAATGCCTGCATGCTCGCGCACGACAGGAGACTGCATGATACCCTGGCTATTGATCACGGCCCCCAGCCCGCGCGACCAGGCCGCATTCACGAGTGCGGTTGTCACCGCGCCGCAGTCGAACGGTGTATCGTCGCTATCGGCCAATGCACGGTCATAGGTCACAATCACGCATACCGGTGCATCAAACTGGCGAAAGCCCCGCAGCACCCAATCCTGGCGTGCTTCTTTATCTTCCCGGGCGATCCCCATAGCTGAAAACAACTGCTTGGCGACGCCAATCTGCCTTTCCCGGTGCTTGCCGTCGAAAGGCTGCCCAATGCGGAATTCGCGAGAGTGCGGGACCCCTGCCAGGTTCCGTTCCGTATTGCCGGCGCGGATGCGGTCCAAAGGTTCGCCGGAGATGACGTAGAAACTCCAAGGCTGGGTGTTCATCGACGAGGGTGCGCGCATCGCCAGCGCGAGAACTTCTTCGATTAGAGCCTTCGGAACAGGGTCTGATTTATAGCCGCGGATACTCCGACGGCCCTGGATTACGTCATCAAACTGCATGGGTGGTCCTCAAGATTGTTTTATCCCGAAGAAATATCGACTATTGGGCGGAAGAACAAGCCACTCCGGTCGTTGCTCCTGATGGCCGTCGCGCCTGGTCTTTGTCTGAGAAAGCTCACGGGCTGAAAGAATGTAGAGAAACTGCTCTGCCAGGGACCTTCTGCCGGGCTTTGCCGCCTGCATTCATGATAGCCAAAGAACTTGCGCCTCTTCATACTTTGACGGACCCTGCAGCGAAGAAGCAATGTCAGGTGCATGCTGGACGGGAGGAACCGTGAAACTTTGGCTCAGAATCCTAATTGGTGTTGGTTCGGTGGCGGTTTGTCTTACCGCAGTCGGGTATTGGTACTTTGTCACGAGAGACAGTCGGGAACCATCCTTCGTCGCCTGGAACGAACATTGCGCGAGTTGCCACGGCAGTGGCCTGGCGGGAACCGAATTTGGTTCAGCTCTTATCGGTCCGGGTCCCAAACATGGTGAGACCGTTCCTGAAATTATTAAGGTCATTGCCGAAGGTCTTCCGGGTACCACCATGGCCGGCTGGCAAGACGAACTATCGCCAGAGCTGATTAAAGGCTTGGCCCTCTATATCAGCGAACGTCGTCAAAACTATCCTGGCATTGCTGACTCCTATGGCGCTGAACCCACTGAATCCAGAGACATCCAATCGATCCATCATAATTTCCGACTTGAGCGGTTCGCCACATTGGTAAGCAGGCCCTACTCGCTCGCGTATATGCCAAACGGCAACATCCTGGTCGCCGAGAAAACCAGAGGTCTCTCGCTTGTTGATCCGCTGGGTCGGCAAAGCCCTTTGATCACTGATACGCCTCCGGTTTGGGAGACGCTGCTTAGCGTGGAGGGCGCCTGGCTCAATTATGGCATCGTGCTGGACGTTGAGCTACATCCTGAGTTTGAAGAGAATGGCTGGATATACCTTTCCCACACTGACCGGTGCCAGTGGTCCTGTGGATGGTTGGTTCCCGCGACAATGGTCCGCGTTGTCCGTGGACGGATCAGAGATGGCCGCTGGGTAGACCAGGAAACCATCTGGTCAGTTCATAAAGATCACTATACGCCCGTCCCTGACGGTGTTGCCGCCGGGCGTTTGGCTTTTGACGGTCGTGGGCATCTGTACATTTCGATCGGTGGCAAAAACACCTACGACAAGCTCCACCAATTGGACACGCCGTTCGGAAAGATCCACCGGGTCCGCGACGACGGGACTGCTCCTAAAGACAATCCGTTTTGGGTTGCCGAAGATGAACGCCCCGAAGCATCAACAATTCATACTGTTTGGAGCTACGGGCACCGGACGGGCCAGGGTTTGGACGCGCACCCGGAAAGCGGTACAATCTGGAACACGGAAATGGGGCCTCGGGGGGGAGACGAGATCAACCAGATCCTGGCCGGACAGAACTATGGATGGCCGCTCTATACCAATGGTCTCGACTATAATGGTGAAGAAGTTTCCATAGGAAAGGACCTGGGTCTGGACTTCCCGATTGAAGACACAGTCTTACCCATTGTCGACTTTACGCCGGCGCCAGCAATTTCAAATTTCACCTTTCATGACGGATCGCAATTCCCTTCGTGGAACAACGACCTGCTTGTTGGAAGCCTCAAAGCAATTTCGCTTTACCGTCTCCGCATCGAAAACGGCTCACTGATTGAGCAAGAACAGCTGATCGACGATTTCGGGCGCATTCGTGATGTCGGAATGGGCGCCGATGGATTGGTCTATATTGCACTTGAACATAATGACACTGGTTCTCTTTGGCGTCTCGTTCCTCTCGACACTGCTGGAGATGTCGCGCCTTAGAGACCAAAGAGATGAGGCGGGCATGGCCGACGCGGTTGATATGCCTACGACCACTGTCACGCCGACATCACCATCATCACTGTCTACGCAACAAAGGAAAACGCCATGACCGACAAATTGAACATCAATCGTCGTCACCTAATCGCGGGCGCAGGGATTGCCGCGACGGCCGCGGTCGTAACAAAAGCTCAGGCTCTCGATGAGACAAGCCAACCTGACCTCAGCGGCAAGTCGATTTTAATCACCGGCACCTCATCAGGCTTTGGGCGTCTTGGCGCAGAACATTATGCCCGGTTGGGAGCGAAAGTCTTCGCGACCATGCGTAACCTGCCGCGCGCAGAAGCTGGTGATCTTACCGCGCTTGCTGATCAGGAAAATCTGGACATTACCGTAATCGAGATTGATGTCACCAAGGATGATCAGGTGGAGGCAGGCGTCGCAAAGGCGCTTTCAGTGGCAGACGGAAAAATGGATGTCCTTATCAACAATGCAGGCATTGCCTTTTCCGGGCCTATTGAAGTTCAGGACCTGGAAGCAACGCAGCTGATATTTGACACCAATGTTTTTGGTCCTCAGAGAATGATCCGGGCCGTTCTTCCTTCAATGCGAAATGCGGGCAGTGGCCATATTATCAACATTACATCTCAGCTGGGCCGCGTGATTATTCCCGGGATCGGGCAATATTCGCCAACCAAATTCGCTCTAGAGGCACTAAGCGAACAACTCGCCTATGAAACGGTTTCACAAGGGATTGAAGTGACCGCCATTCAACCCGGCGGGTATCCAACAGAAATATGGGAAAACCAGAGCCAATTGTCAGGGGCGCTCAAAGCACGTTCTTCGCAAGAGCTGTTGGACGCCTACCCACAAATGACTGCCAACATGGGTGCACCTGGCGGCGGCACCAGCGACACTGACCCAATGGACATTCCCCACGCGATTGCCGAGATCATCGCTATGCCAGCGGGGACAAAACCATTGAGACGTGCTCTCCACCCTGTTTCCCGGCCTCAGGAAGCTATTAACTCCGTCTCTGCCGAGCAGCAACTCGCAATGCTAGGAAACTCGCCCTATGGGCCACTGGTCAAGGCCGTGCTGGACTGACTTCGAGAGTGGACTTTCACGACTCACAAGACCATCCCGTATTCCTTGGGATGGCCTTATCTGCCTGACAGTGATCGTCTATCCACTGAATTGGTGCGTCGAACTTGCTCGCGGTGTCTTTGTCTAGTGGCTCAACGGAGGCGACACCCAAAACACCGCGCGTGTCCGGCATATTCTCTGTTAGTCTTCCTCTAACTAGAAAATTGAGGGCCACATATGGCAAACAACAAACCGAGCTTCGGCTGGGGTCACATCAACATCAACGTTCGTGATCTGGACCGGTCCATCGTTTTTTACGAGCAGCTGGGCTTTGAGCTTTTCATCCCCGCCATTCCCTATTTGGGTCTAGACACCACGGCGGAACATCAGAACCTGCCGGACGATGCCGCAACAGCGCTCGGCATCACCCACGGCGCCCGTGGCCGGGCCTGCATCATGCAGCTGGGTGACGGCTTCCCGAAACTCGACCTCACAGAATTCGTCGGTCTGGACCAGAATACGCCTTTGACGAACGCAGACACCGGCCTTGTGCGAATCTGTCTTACATCGGAGGATCTGCCGCGAGACGTTGCCCGCCTCAAAGCCGACGGCGTGGAGTTTCTCTCCGAACCCCAAGAAGGTCATGGGGCGCTCGCAGACATCGCTGTGTGCAAGGATCCCGACGGCACGCTGATCGAGTTGCTACAAGTCTATCTTGATCGGTGGCAGTCGATATTGAATCCGACCTGAGGCCTGTCCACGACGCGACAGGTGGGCGAAAGAACGTTTGTCAGGCGCAATGCGCCTGTCCCTCGTCAGGGTTTTGGTAACAGATGGTTGCTTGCTTTTGAAAGGAAGACTAGCGATTACAATGAGTTAGCTAGAGGGTGGTGAAGACAGGCGGACGCTCCACCAGAACCATTTCTTCCAATAAATTCAACGGTTTATGGATACCGTGGACGAAGAATGTGTACCACAAATGTGTCCCAATATCGAGAAATTTGACGGGACGCGAGGCTCCACAATCACGCTGCAAGACTAAGGACTAGCCCTGCGCTTCCTTTTGCACCTGCGCACCAGCCTCAATGCTGTGATGGCTGGCGAGAAGCCCCTTCAACACTTCACCGATGACAATCGTTACCGGCCCACCACCTCTGCGTCGTGACAGAAGAGCAGACAGATCATTCAAGCGGCCGACTATTGTGTTCTGGCCATCCCTGGAAACATCTTCGACAACGGCTACCGGCGTTGATCCCGACCGGCCGTGCGCCATTAGTCTAGCGGCAAGCTCTCCGCCAGTGCGCCCGCCCATATAGACAATGAGCGTTGTCGCCTGGTCGGATAGACCCGCCCAATCCAAGTGAGGTGGCAGCATTCCCTTCGCACCATGTGCTGTGACAAACCGGAGAGATTGCGCACAGTCTCGATGAGTGAGCGAAACATTGAGGCTTGCTGCCAAGGCAGACGCAGTCGTGATGCCGGGGACCACCTTCACGTCGATACCGGCAGCAGCTAGAGCCGAAATCTCCTCGCCGGACCGCCCAAAGACCGACGGATCTCCCGACTTCAATCGCACGACACGCCACCCCTCTTTGGTCAGGCGGATCATCAGGTCGTTGATATCGCCTTGCGCCCAGCTCGGCCGCCCGGCCCGTTTGCCAACACTGATCGCTGTGGGTCCCGGCCCGATGGTTTCAAGAATCTCTCGGCTCACCAACTCATCAAAGAGCACGACATCGGCAGCCTGCAAAACACGCAAGGCTTTGATAGTCAAAAGCTCAGGATCGCCAGGACCGGCGCCTACAAGAGTGATTTGCTTCATTTCACACTGCCTCCCGTATGTCTGCCGTCACCAGCAGGCGTCCAATCTCTGATCGACAGGACCCACAATTGGTCCCCGCATTGACAACGACGCCCACGGCATCAACCGTATCCGCTCCCTCTCGCATCGCTTGGGTGATCTGATTGGCACCGACTTCAAAGCAGGAGCAAACAATGGCTCCCTTGTCCGGTTGGCCAGCACCTGCGCGACCCGCGAGCAGCGCATAACGCGAGGCGGGGTCCTGCTCCCGACCCAACTGGTCAACCAGCCAGGCACGGGCCACTTCGACCGGCTTGGCGGACCAGAAGACGGCGTGGTCGAGCTTGCCAGAATTGCACTGCATATGGCTTCCGCCGCCCAGCCCATTGTCGTAGGAAAAGGTTTCAGCCTCAGTGGGCTCACCATCGTCGATAAGATCTTTCACGCTTTCAGCGAACGAAGCAATCGGACCGTCGCCGGCAATCTCCGCGCGCCAGCCGCATTTGGTCCGCGCCAAGGCCCAATAGGGAAAGGCGGTAAGATCTGGTTTGGGTACAGAGACAAGGAAGGCATGCCACTGCATGGGTGCACGCTCAACCCGGACGGGCGTGAACTTGAGCTCCGGTTGGCCCGATATGGGGTCCGTATGCGAACCCACCAAAACGTCCACCTCTGCGCAGGATGAATAGGGGGCGGTCCAATGAATGGGCACAAACACGCTGCCTTTGGACTGACGGGGCGTTACAGATGCTCTTACGAGAACACTCCCAGTGGCGCTCGTAACACGCACCACATCACCAATCTCTATGCCGAATGACAGCGCATCGTCTGGATGCATCTCAACGAAGGGTTCGGCAATATGCGACGAAAGACGCGCCGATTGTCCTGTTCTCGTCATGGTGTGCCATTGATCTCGTATGCGCCCCGAGTTTAGGACCAATGGATATGTCGCGTTGGTCTCGGTTGCAGGAGTCTTCTGAGACACCGCAACAAAATTTGCCTTGCCCGTCTTTGTGTAGAAGGCCCCTTGACCAAAGAGACGGTTCGTTCCCACTTCCGCGCCCGCGACAAAAGGCCATTGAACGGGAGACAGGTCTTCATACGCCTCCTCATTCAGGTCCATGAGACCGGAGAGATCGAAGTCCCGAGTGCCGTCATTCTCAAACGCAGACAGGGCGGCATGCTCGCGGAAAATCTCTGCGGGGCTCTCATAGGAAAAACCGGGAAAGCCCATGCGCCCTGCCACCTCGGTGATGATCCACCAATCTGGCCTGGATGATCCCGCACCCGACACAAAGGATCGCTGTCTTGAGATCCGCCGTTCAGAGTTTGTGACTGTGCCGTCCTTCTCTCCCCAACCCATGGCGGGTAGCAGGACATGCGCCAGCCCTCCTGTTTTTGTTGTATCAGTCACATCAGACACAACAACAAAGGGGCAAGCTTCTATCGCCGCCGACACGCGGTCCGCATCCGGCATGCTTGCGGCCGGGTTGGTCGCCATAATCCAGAGAGCCTTGATGTGCCCACTCTCCACCTGATCAAACAGATCAACGGCTTTCAGACCGGGCGCACTGGCTAGATTCGGGGCGCTCCAAAAGCGCGCGACCAGGTCCCTATGGTTCTGATTTTCAAAACCCATGTGCGCGGCAAGCTGGTTCGCCAGTCCGCCAACTTCGCGCCCGCCCATAGCGTTCGGCTGACCGGTGATGGAAAAAGGCCCCATCCCCGCGCGGCCGATCCGCCCAGTGGCCAAGTGGCAATTGATAATCGCATTGACCTTGTCTGTTCCCGCGCTCGACTGATTGACGCCCTGGGAATAGACCGTCACGACTTTCTCGGTCTCACAAAACGCCTGGTAACATTGGGTAAGACGGATCGGATCAAGGTGCGTTGTTTCAGCGACAACCGCGAGGCTCATCGACTGTGCACTTTCGAGAGCGGCGTCAAAGCCTTGGGTATGTGCGGAGATATAGGAGCGGTCGAGTGCCTCTTTGTCTGCAAGGTAGCCAAGAAGACCATTGAACAAGGCAACGTCCGACCCCGGGTGCAGCGGCAAGTGCATGTCAGCAAGTTCGGTGGTCGCCGTTTGCCGAGGGTCAATCACGATCACCCGGGTGCCACGATCCCGCTTTGCTGCCGCAAGCCGCTGAAACAGAACCGGATGACACCAGGCGAAATTGGACCCGACGAGCACCACGAGATCCGCCTCGTCCAGATCTTCATACGACCCAGGCACCGTATCGCTGCCGAAGGCGCGTTTATGGCCGGCAACGGAGGACGCCATGCAGAGTCTGGAATTGGTGTCGATGTTTCCGGACCCAATGAAGCCCTTCATCAGCTTGTTGGCGACGTAATAGTCCTCGGTCAGCAACTGACCGGACACATAGAAGGCAACCGAGTCCGGACCATGGTCGCGGACGGCTTCCGAAAACCCTTGCGCCACCTTATCGAGCGCTTCGTTCCAATCCGACGTTTGCCCATCGATCCTGGGGACCAATATTCGGTCTTCCAGAGAAAACGTGTCGCCTAGTGCAGAACCCTTGGAACAGAGTTTCCCGAAGTTCGCCGGGTGATCCGGGTCACCTGAGATTTCAACGCCGCCGTCTTCCTTCTGTCGAGCAATGACGCCACATCCAACACCGCAATAGGGGCAAGTGGTTTTCACGCTCGCGCCAGCCATCATACTCAGGCGACCTTCGTTTGCTTGAGTGTGCTGATGTCCATCAGGATCCGGTCTTCTTGCACATCAATTGGATAGGTTCTCACACACCCGCCATCCGGTCCCTGCCCCTCACCACTTGCTAGATCGATGACAAGATTGTGCAGCGGGCAGGTCACCCGCCGGTCGTGCACAATGCCTTGGGACAAGGGACCGCCCAGGTGGGGGCAGCTGTCATCAATTGCGAAGAATTGATCGTCGCTTGTGCGAAACACCGCCACCGCGCCGCCCGACACCTGTATGAGGCGCGATCCGCGCACAGGCACATCAGACACCGCACCTATTTCGATCCATTTAGGCGAATTGCTCATTCGGCAGCCTCAAGCGTCAGGTCAGCCATGGGCGCGAAGGCATGGGCTTCGCCGCCTTGTGCCCGCTCGGCCCAGGGGTCGGTTTGCGAGAATTTCTGGGAGAACACAAACCGGTCAAACAGGGCGGCGCGCTGTTCGACGTCTTCGACAATCGCTTTTTGGATTGTCTCTACGCCCACGCGGCGGGCCCATTTATATATGCGTTCCAGGTAGTAGCCCTGCTCTCTGTAGAGCTGAACTACCGCGACGATCATCTCTAGCGCATCGTCTTCCGTCGATGCGTGGCCGAGTATTTCTGTGCCTTTAATGTCAAGCCCAGCTGCCCCGGCAAAGTGGATCTCATATCCCGAATCCACGCAAATGACGCCGACATCCTTACAGGTCGCTTCTGAACAGTTCCGGGGACAGCCCGAGACCGCCATCTTCACTTTGGCCGGGGTCCAGGAGCCCCACATGAAGCGCTCAATGCGGATCCCGAAGCCGGTTGAGTCCTGTGTTCCAAACCGGCACCAGTCGGTGCCAACGCAGGTTTTAACGGTGCGCAGCGCTTTGCCGTAGGCATGCCCTGAGACGAGGCCTGCCTGGTTCAGATCCGACCAGACCTCTGGCAGGTCTTCCTTTTTGATGCCGAGCAGGTCAATACGCTGCCCACCGGTGACCTTCACGGTCGGAACCGAGAATTTGTCGGCGACATCTGCGATTGCACGGAGTTCGTCAGCGCTTGTGATGCCGCCCCACATGCGGGGAACGACAGAATAGGTTCCATCTTTCTGGATGTTAGCGTGCACGCGTTCATTCACGAATCTGGATTGCGCGTCGTCTACATATTCGCCAGGCCAGGTTGCGAGCAGATAATAGTTGAGCGCCGGGCGACATTTGGCACATCCACAAGACGTCTTCCACTCCAATTCCTGCATCACGTCTTCGAGTGACTTGAGCTCTTTGGCAACAATCAGGCGGCGCACGTCTCCGTGACCAAGGTCGGTACAGCCACACATGGGCTGAATGGCCGCCGGATTAAATGCATCGCCCAAGGACAGGGTCAGGAGTTGTTCGACCAGCCCTGTGCATGAGCCGCAGGACGCGGATGCTTTTGTGTGCGCTCTGACGCCCTCAACATCACTCAGGTGTTGAGCGCCGATTTCCTCGAGGATTGTTCCTTTACATACGCCGTTACAGCCGCAGATTTCTGCATCATCCGGCAAGGCTGCAACGGCCACCATAGGGTCCAGGGGGGCACTCCCCGCGAAGGCCTGGCCGAAGATCAGCGTGTCTCTCATGTCGCTGATATCGGTTCCGTTTTTGATCAGATCAAAGAACCATGCGCCATCGGTGACATCCCCATAAAGAACCGCGCCGATCAGTTTGTTGTCTTCAAGGACGAGACGCCGATAGACGCCAGCCTGCGCATCCCGAAGCACCACTTCTTCCCGCTCTTCCCCTTCGGCGAAATCGCCTGCGGAAAAGAGGTTTATGCCTGTGACTTTCAGCTTTGTGGAGGTTAGAGACCCGGTATAGGTCGCTTCTTCCCCCGCAAGTCCGTTTGCCAGCGTTTTTGCCATTTCGTAGAGGGGCGCCACGAGGCCATAACAGACCCCGCGATGCTGCGCACACTCACCAAGCGCAAAAACATCGGGGTCATTGGTTGCCAAGCAGTCATCGACAACAATACCGCGATCTGTCTCGATTTTACAATCCGCTGCCAGGGAAGCATTGGGCCGGATGCCGACCGCCATCACGACCAGATCGGCGGCAAGTTCCGTCCCGTCGTCCAATAGGACGGCGCGGGCTTTCCCATCCGTGCCGAGTATCTCCTTCGTGTTGGCTTCCGTGATGATGCGGATGCCGCGCTCTTCAAGAGACCGGCGAAGCAGATGCCCGGCTGCGGCGTCCAACTGACGTTCCATCAAGGTCGGCATAAGGTGCACCACGGTGACCTCCATGCCCTGGACCTGGAGACCCGCCGCTGCTTCCAGTCCCAACAAACCGCCGCCAATGACAACCGCGCTTTTGGTTTGGTTGGCGGTGCCGAGCATCTGGTTTACATCGTCCAGATCGCGGTACCCCAAGACACCGTCTAGATCTTTCCCCGGTACGGGGATGATGAACGGTGCGGAGCCCGTTGCCAGTACCAGCTTGTCATAAGGTGCGACAGTGCCGTCCTCGGCGGTTACGCTCCTAGCCTGCCGATCGATCGAAGTGACCTTGCGGCCCTTATGCAGCGTGACATGGTTGTCGGCATACCAGGCGTCATCGTGAATGATGATGTCATCGTAGGTCCGCTCACCGGACAAAACCGGCGACAACATGATCCGGTCATAGTTCACGCGGGGTTCTGCATTGAAAATGGTCACGTCGTAGGTGTTGGGTGCAAGCTTGAACAGTTCCTCAAGCATGCGACCCGGTGCCATGCCGTTTCCGACAATGACAAGCCTCTGTCGTTGCGGCAGTTCTATTGCATCAGGTGACATTGTTCCTCCTCACGCAATTGCCGCTTCAGCGGCTGGGTTGGTGTCAGGTTTTTTTGTTGGCTTTGCACCGTGCTCATATTCCTCAAGGAAGGTCAGCACCTCTTCGCGGTACCGGTAATAGTCTGGATGTTCCAACAATGCTGAGCGGGTGCGAGGGCGCGGCAGATCAATGTCGACAATTTTCCCGATTGTCGCGTGGGGTCCATTGGTCATCATGACAATGCGGTCACCCAACAGGATCGCTTCATCCACATCATGGGTGACGCAGATTGCGGTGACCTGCGTTCGCTTCCAGACATCCATGAGGACTTCCTGTAGTTCCCAGCGGGTCAGGCTGTCGAGCATCCCGAAAGGTTCATCGAGCAAAAGCAGTTTTGGCGAGAGGGCAAATGCCCGGGCGATACCAACGCGCTGTTTCATGCCATTGGACAATTCCGCGGCCTGCTTGTGCATGGAGTCGCCGAGCCCCACGCGCTCCAGGTAATATTCCACGACTTCACGGCGTTCAGCCGCAGACGCTTTCGGATAAACCCGGTCCACACCCAACGCTACATTCTCTCTCGCGGTCAGCCAGGGCATGAGCGAGGGGGCCTGGAAAACCACCGCACGGTCAGGGCCAGCGCCAGAAATCTCGTGATTATCTAGAACCACACCGCCACCGGAAATCTCGTTCAAGCCGGCGACCATGGACAAGACCGTGGACTTGCCGCAGCCAGAGTGACCAATCAGCGAAACGAACTGGCCTTTGTCCATCTTCAAGTTGAAGTCTTCCAACACGGTCAACGGACCTTTTGGTGTGGGATAGATTTTCTTCAGCTCAAACAGCTCCACGAACCGATTTTCGTTTTTGGTTCTGGCAGCATCCAGATAAGCCCTAGGAGGCGTTTTTTCGATGCGGGCTGTTGGCTTGAGGTCCGGCGCTGCCCGTTCAGCAGACTTTCTAGCCTCCCTTTCAGCCTCGCTGGCGTCGAGCAAGTAGCCCGTGACCTCGGCGCGCAATGCCTTAAAGACAGGATTGCTGTTCACCGCCGTTCGGTCCCGCGGACGTGGCAGATTGACCTCAAAGGAGGGCCCCAAAGTCGCGGAGGGACCAGGCGTCAATGGAATGATGCGGTCTGCCAGCAAAATGGCTTCATCCACATCGTTCGTAATCAAGATCACGGTTTTGCGGTCTGCTTCCCAGATCGCCTCGATTTCATCCTGCAGATTTGCCCGCGTGAGCGCATCCAGAGCAGAAAGAGGCTCATCCAGCAGCAGAACGTCCGGGTCCATCGCGAGAGCCCGAGCGACAGCGACGCGCTGGCGCATGCCTCCGGAGAGTTCCGCGGGCTTGCGGTCACTTGCGTGGGCGAGACCGACCATCGAAATATATTTGCTCGCGCGCGCCTTTCTCTCTTCTTCGCTTTCAGAGGAAAAGACCGCATCGATTCCCAGACGAATGTTCCCATAGACACTGAGCCAGGGCATCAGCGAGTAAGACTGGAATACGACCCCGCGATCCGGCCCCGGCCCGCGCAAAGCTTCACCGCGCAGGGTGATCTCACCGATGTCTGGTTTGATCAGCCCGGCGATTGAGGAGATGAGTGTCGTCTTGCCACTCCCGGAGAAACCAACAATGGCAACGAACTCGCCTTCCTTGACCGACAGGTTTATGTCGGTCAGGACATCCGTCCGCTTGTCGCCTTCACCGTAATGTTTCGAAACATCTGTTAGTTCTAGGAAACTCATACCGCCCTCACCGTTGTGCGCTGAAGGTGAATGCGGCTTGCAGCGCATACATCACCCGATCAAGGAAGAAACCAATCAGGCCGATCACAAGAACCGCGACCATGATACGCGAGAGTGAGTCTGACGAGCCGTTCTGGAATTCATCCCAGACAAACTTTCCGAGACCAGGGTTCTGCGCCAGCATTTCTGCTGCGATCAACACCATCCATCCGACACCGAGAGAGAGACGGAGGCCTGTGAAGATCAGCGGCAGCGCGGAAGGCAATACGACCTTCCGAATTGTCGTCCACTGCGAGAGCTGCAGGACCTTGCCGACATTGATCAGGTCCTTGTCGATCGACGCAACGCCCAATGTCGTGTTAATCAATGTTGGCCAGAGCGAACAAAGCGTCACGGTAAGCGCTGAAATGAGCATTGATTTGGAGACAGCCCCATCGCCACCCGCATAGGTCGCCGAAACAATCATCGTCACGATCGGCAACCAGGCGAGTGGCGAGACGGGCTTGAATATCTGAATAAGCGGGTTGAGCGCCCCGTTGGCGAGCGGCGAGAGACCACAAACAATGCCCAGCGGCACAGCAAACACTGTCGCCACAATGAAGCCGAGCGCCACCGTTTTCAGACTGGTCCATATCTGATCGAAAATTGTCGGCTTGCCTGTATAGGTGCGCCATTTGACTCGGTCTTCCTGGCCGTTGGCGAAGAGCTCCGCATTGCGGGTGTCCTGGCGGTCATAAAACGCATCGGCCTTGGCCCGCTCAGCAAAATGGTCGTCCACAAGAACGCTCACCTGCTCCATCACTTCAGGGGGACCGGGGATCGCGCCAAGAGAGGTTTGTACCTGTGGCGCGAGCCAGCCCCAGGCGACAAGGAACAGGCTGATGCCGATAAGAGGAACAACTAGCGCCCGCCAAAGGTTGCGGAGCTGCTCTTTGACGCTGTCGCCTGCCGCCATGAGCAGGATCGGGACAAGAAACCCGAGGCCAACCATCTCAATATAGATCGAGATTTTGTTGATCTTCGCGAGTCGCGCCTGGCGTTTTTCTTCTTTTGCGGCGCTTGTCGGAACTTCCGATGGTGTGGAGACCATTGTCATCGAGAAGAGACTTTCAATTTAGAGAACTGGGAAAGATGGAGGTGCTGGCAGGCAGGAACGGACCCGCCAGCAACCACATTTACTCAAGCTCGGAGAGCTGAGCGACTAGATCGTCGCCCTTCAAACCGATGGGGAACTGCTTGAGGTAGTCGTTGGGTGTCCGGCCGTCATAGGTGACGCCGTCAATGAACTCAGACACGGGTTCGCGGTAGCCGTCTGTCCCCCAGGGGAAGTCGGCCTCACTCACATGACCTTCGTCCACGAGAATTTTCGCAGCCGTGAGGTAGAGATCAGGCCGGTAAACCTTGGCAGCAACTTCTGCGTACCAATCGTCGGACTTCGGTTCCGCAATCTGGCCCCAGCGCCGCATCTGCGTCAGATACCACACAGCGTCAGAGTAATAGGGATAGGTCGCGTTGTACCGGAAGAACACATTGAAGTCGGGGATCTCCCGCTTGTCGCCACGCTCGTACTCAAACGTGCCGGTCATGGAGTTTGCGATGACCTCCTCATCCGCGCCCACATATTCTGAGCGAGAAAGGATCTCCACGGCTTCTCCACGGTTGGCATTGTCATTTTCGTCGAGCCATTGGCCGGCGCGGATCAGGGCCTTGGTCAGCGCGATCGTGGTGTTGGGATATTGCTCCGCGAACTCTGCCGTAATCCCGAAGACCTTTTCCGGATTGTCTTTCCAGATTTCATAATCCGTGATCACCGGCACACCGATGCCTTTAAACACAGCCTGTTGGTTCCATGGTTCGCCAACGCAATAGCCGCTAATGGTGCCGGCCTCAAGCGTGGCAGGCATCTGTGGTGGGGGTGTCACGGAGAGCAGCGCCTCTGCGGCGATCTGCCCGGAAATATCCGCTGGGGAATAATATCCGGGATGAATGCCGCCGGCTGCGAGCCAGTAGCGCAGCTCATAGTTGTGAGTCGAGACCGGGAACACCATGCCCATGTTGAACGGGCGCCCTTCGTCCTGGAACTGCTCGATCACCGGTTTCAGATAGTCCGCTTTAATCGGATGTTGCGGTCGCCCGTCATCCATCTTGGGGATGAGCGGTTTCATCATTTCCCAGACCTCGTTTGATACGGTGATTCCGTTTCCGTTCAGGTCCATCGAAAAGGGTGTGATGATGTGCGCTTCGGTGCCGTAGCCGATGGTCGCAGCCAGGGGTTGGCCAGCCAACATGTGTGCACCATCTAGCTCACCGGTGATGACACGGTCGAGCAACACCTTCCAGTTCGCCTGAGGCTCCAGTGTGACAAACAGGCCTTCCTCTTCGAAGAAACCTTTTTCATAGGCGATCGCCAGCGGCGCCATGTCTGTCAGCTTAATGAAGCCAAATTTCAGTTCGTCTTTTTCAGGGATCAACTCCTCAGCGGCCAGTGGTGTAGCCGCGACGGCCAAAGCCGCCAGGGGAACAGCCACCGACCGGAGGAAGTGTCGCCGCATAAAGTCGCGGAAGGTATCTGCAAGTTTGATCTTCATTTCTCACTCCTGCTGCCGGAACAAGCTCCGGCGTGAAGGCAAAAAAAAGCGCTGCTCATCAAGAGGCAAAGAAACCTTCCTCCTGATTGGCAGCGCTGCCGTGAAACCCCGCCATTGGAGTTTCGTATGGGTGCGCTCGTAAGAACGCGGTTTGAGACCTTCTTTGCGAAGGTTGTGCCAGTTGGCCTTTTTGTGGGATTGCGGCGGTTTTCAGTGGTTTACCTATTCAACCCCTTGCTCCGTCGCCCCCTTTTTCATCAAGCGTGGCTATGAGCGCCCATTTGTTGTGCAATGCACAAGAACGCTCGCCGGCTCCGTTAAAGGTTGAAGTCGATCTGAAACCAGAACTTGTCCCGATCGGCCGGACCCGCTGAGGTTCCATCAAGCGTCGCGTATTTCGCTGCCGCTGACAGATGCGGATTGATTACAGCTTTGAGCAGGAGATCGAATTCGTCGCCCAGATCTGTGCCGGTACGCTCACTACTAAAGTCGTGATACACGGCTTTGGTGATGATCTTCGGAAGCGGCCCCACATCCGTGAAGACATATCCGACTTCGGCGAAGAGATCTTCAATGCCATTCGCAGGCGTGTTCAGGAAGCCGTCTGCCCAGCCCTGGAATGCATGCACTGTTGCCAGGGGTGTACTGAATCCGTTTGTGCCATCGCCTTCCAGAACTTCATAGGCAACGCCACCGGTAAAACCACCAAGCTTCGTGCCCGCAAAGAGTTTGTAATAGCTCAGGTCAATGTCGGTGGTGTTGTCAGCATAATCTGACTGGGTCGCATATTCTGCGGACAAGTTGAGAGGAATACCCTCAGCAATAGGGAAACTTCCCGAGACACCGCCGCCATAGGTCGCTGTTGAGAGACCAGATGCTTCTTCCAAGTCAAGCAAGTAGGCATAGGCCGTCAGTGTCACCCAGTCCAGACCACCGTATTTTGCATTCAATACATGACTGTCGCTCTCGAATGAACCGTTGACGCTCTCGCTACCGAATATACGCTGAACCGACTCCAGGTATCCGTATGTGACTTTAAGGTCTTCAATGGCCGTCACTTCGGCCACTGCGGCATCAAATGTCTGTTGGTTCTGGCGCCAGCCAACATCCCCGATAAACCGGGCATTATCAAAGACCAGACGCTGACGCCCGACCGTCAGTGCCAAACCATCAATCCCGGTATATTTGATCTGTAGCCGGTTTATTTCTTGTGAGTCCGGGTCTGCGACGACGGGAAAATTGGTGCGGCTGTTGGTTGTCGAGTTGTACTCGTTGTTCAAGCCCTTCACGACCTCGATTTCACCAAGAACCGAAAACCCCAGATAGCTGCCGGTTTCCAACCCTGCTCGGAAGCGCGCTGTGACAGCATTCGCGTCGTCGACCGGTCCTGTCTGATCAACAAATTCATACCTCAGCCGGGTGTTCAATATCGGCTTGGACTCATCCAACGCCTCCAGAATGCTGTCAGCTGCGAGCGCCCCCGACATCATCGGCGCAGCGCTCAAGAGAGCCGCCAGGCTGACGCCTGACACAAAGCGCGACCCCAATTTGATTTTCATCATCGCAAAAAAACTCCAAAAAAAAACGCTGCACGAAGACTCTCTTCAACAGAGTCTCTCGGCAGCGTTGCCATTTGGCGAACCCACGTTAGCCCGCCTTCGCCGTCACACGGCAGTCATCTGTCTGCAGCAAATGTGCCAACATGCACACTAAGGAAACCCTATCCAGACAGTTGATCGCGCATCTAAAGTGCTTATCGCTTAAGCGCTTCTGGGTAGCAGCCTGTCCGATTTTTGTGCATTGCAACCAATCGCCTCAGGGCGGGCGTATCGCTCAGACAATCGACGGCTCAAAGGCGCGTCCATCAAAAAAAGTGGATGACGCACTCATTTCTTCTCCATCCGCGTCTTCGAAGTCGGCCAGAGCCTCCCGGTAGATATCCGGTCGGTACATGTTCCTGATGCTCTGGATGTTGCCCTCGTCAGGGGTGACCTGCCCATTCTCAATCATCTGTTTGTAGAACCACAGGCCATGTTGTGCTGAGGGATAGGAGGCACCTGGGCGTGCAAAACTTGCCCGCACCGTCGTCTGGCCAAAGTGCAGATAATCTTCGTCTAAACTTCGCCTGACCTGCTCTGATGGCAAATCCAGATATTGCGGTTGGGACAGAATATCGATCAGCCTGTCTCTGTTTTTTGACTGATCGCACCATTTGGCAGCCTGAAACACACACCGAACAATCTTGAGGACAAGATCTGGATGCTCCTCAGCCCATCTTTTGCGGACGCCCAAGATTTTGTCCGGATTTGCGCTCCAGATGTCATCGCACGCCACCACTGCGCGGCCTACTCCCTCATTCTGGGCGACCGTGTTCCAGGGTTCGCCCACACAGCAGGCATCAATACGGCCGCTTTTCAGGGCATCAACCATCAAAGACGGGGGCAACACTTCCACGACGACATCTTCGTTGGGGCGAATGCCGCATCCGCGCAGCCAATAGTTGAGAAAATAGGCATGCGCTGAGAACGGGTGAACGACCGCAATCGTGACTTTGTCGCCGGGGCCCCGTTCATCGGCGAGCGCCTTAAGAGCTTGGCCGATCAGACCGGCGTTTCCGTTTAGCTCCCCATGTCTCGCGAGATTCTCGGCCAATGCCAGACTGACGGTAATCGCGTTGCGCCCTGTACCGAGCGCCACGGGCGCAATCACCGAGACAGGAAGCGGCGGCAAGCCGAGGCTCCCGGATATTGCGATCGGCGCCAGAAGGTGTGCTGCCTCCAGGTGACCCACCGCAATTCTGTCTCTGAGGGTCGCCCAGGAAGACTCCCGCACAAGCGCCAGTTCTATCCCCGCTTCCTCTGCAAACCCGAGCTCATGAGCGACGATCAGCGGAGCCGCATCAATGAGAGGAATAAACCCAGCGGTAATTCGTTCAGCTTTCATATGCTTAGTCATCCCCCAAGAGATCGGCGACCGCGATCATGCTCCGCGCGATCTCCACGATTTTGGTGTTTTTAGACATGGCCGTTTTGCGTATCAGCGCATAGGCCTGGTCTTCAGTGAGCTTGCGCCGCTTCATCAGCAGGCGCTTGGCCTGATCAACCAGTTTTCGATCTTCGAGCTCCGCCTTGGTTTCTTCCAGTTCCCGGCGAAGACTGCTGAAGGCGTTAAAACGGGAAATTGTGACATCAAGGATTGATTTGATGCGTTCCTTCTTCAATCCATCAACGATGTAGGCGGATACACCTGCATCCATCGCTGCGTCGATGCGAGCCGCATCTCCATCATCAACAAAAACCGCAATTGGACGGGCCACTGCTCTGGATACGGCGAGCATGCTCTCGAAACTGTCTCTGTTGGGACTTTGCAGATCCATAAATATGACGTCAGGATCAGCACTTGTAATAGCCGCCAATAGACCGTGAGGGTCCGAGACAATTGTGACCTCCGTGCCACCTGCAGCGGTTAGACCTTCTTCGAGCACAGACGCGCGAAGCGCATCCTCATCGAAGATCAAAATACGTACGGTAGGTTCACTCACCAGGCGGGTCCAAGAGATAGCGTGTGACGTAAATCGGACCGGCATGTCCAACTTGAGCCCAGCAGCAGCAAGTTTTGAGCCACTAGAGAATCTGTTGGTCCACGCGGTACGACGACCCCAAATTCGACTGGCGGCAATCAAGACTGCACAAGAAAAAGGCACTAAAGAAACTATATCTCCGGGACATGGCGCACCCATAGACGACAAACCCCTTCCGAATGCACAACGAGATATCGGCGAGGGGCTTTGTCACAAATTCAAACTGTAAGCACAGGAAAATTGTCGACGAGTTGCTCAGACTGCAACCAACTCACGCCACGACCTCAGCGCTAGATCGCGCAAGCCGAGGTTGAAACGAACATTTATCCAAACCGTTTGCTGAACGATAGAAGGCTGAAAGTGGAGATTTCTATAGCTGATCTGAGTCATTTGATCATGCTATCCGATCCACTTCTTCAAAGTGATCGAGTTTGTGACAAAGCCGTGTGAAGCTGTTGGCTCGGGCTAGATAACCTTCGCCCGCATTGGATTACCCAAAGAAACAAGATCGATTGGGTGACCAATGAATTTCAATCAACGCCATCATGGTGGGACGCGAGATCTGCGGCTGCTTGTGCTTGCGGTTCAGCTTCAGCTGACTCTTCGTCGGAACCCGCCCTCCACTCCAATAGGAAATACAGAACCAATCCGGCGACCAGCCCCCATGCGGCTCCGTATGTCGCAAGGACGACACCCATTGTACCTGCGACACCCATTTGAGTATTGTTTTTCATTTCATCGGCGGCAACGCTGATGCAAAGGTAACCGGTCACCAGCAGGGTAATCGACAGTGCGATTGGCAGGACTGGCCTGAATAAGGTCACAAGGGGCAAAGCGAACAAGGCCAATAATAGGACGAAGTAGAATGTTCCCGCGCCGCTATAGATAGAGTCCATTGCCCGGCGTCCGTACCGGTAACGCTCGGCCATCGTGACCATAACACCCGTGAACAACGGCCCGGCGAGCCCAGGGAAGGGCGCGAAGAAGCTGTGGATCAAGTTGCGAATACCGGTCACCAAGTGAACGCGGTCAACATCTACTTCAATGTCTTCATCAGGGCGTAGGTGGTCGACGCGGGCCAGAACACTCTTTCCAACAATGATATCTCCAAACGCGATGATGTAAGCGATCACGGCCGTCGGTACGGCAAGCAAGAACATATTGGCGTTTGGCATACCGATGCTGAATGGCAGGTAATTCCACATTTCAGCAAAGGCGGGTTGTGTGAAACCATACTCGATCTGAGGCAATGAATACTCGCCAAGCGACCAACCAATCGCCATTGCTGCGACCGCACCTGGCACCATGCCATAGCTGGACAAGGCTCTGGCCCATCGGTGCGTTTCCGTCATGCGAAGGAAGGACTGTGAAAACAACATATAGGCCGTGATGACGAAGCCAATCGTGAGCGATATTGGCGTGGCAGCAAGCCGGCCGCCTTCGGCTATTTCGCCAGTGAACGCGGCGATGCCAGCGCCCATCAAAATACCGGCTTTCATCGACTGTGGGATGATATCCACCAGCTTCGATCCCAGGCGCGTGACGCCTAAGATAAAGAAGATGAGAGTTACGATCAGTTGCAGGGCAATCATTGCTTTTATCGCGTCAGGGCCCGGTTCAAAATTTCCTAGAAACAGAAGTACGACCGGAATCGCGGGCGTGATCCACCCTGGTACCATGGGAACGCCCAGAAGGCTTGGCAGCAAGAACCCAAGCGCGCTCACAAATACGTAAGCTAAAGCAACATCGTAAGGCAGTCCGAGATAGCGTTCGAGAAGCGGTATCATTCCGAGCGCCACCACAAAAATGATCAAAGCCTGGATCGCCTCGATCAGTTCCAAACGATAATGGACAAGCGGTAACCGCACCTTGAACGGACCCAAAGGCCAATAAGGCTGCTCTTCTCCGTGTTTTCTCGTTTTTATCACTCGCTCCACCCACCCGTGTATACGGTCCCCGCGATTGTTCTCTTGCCTGTATAACTGAAACGACCTGTCCTTACCAAAAACTAGGTGCGACCGTATTGGTGATGCAGATCTCTTAGGTGCGGGATGGAGTTGATGGTGCCGCGCGATTGGACCGGACGTCCGTTCGGCGCATCTTTGCCCAACGACAAATGGGTGAATTTGCGGAATAGCAAAGAGCTGTGAACGGATAGCTAGGAGTTATGAGAGCTGCAGTCGGGTGTTCTCACAACGACGCAAGGTGGAGCCGGGCGAAAGCTCCAAGAGCGCACGGCAATGTGTCTCACGATTGTGTACCAATCGTGAGACACATGCCGAACTGCCCCGGCACAACAGAAACTCTAGCGAATTTTGGAGGGTGGTGGAGCCAGGCGGAATCGAACCGCCGACCTCTTGCATGCCATGCAAGCGCTCTCCCAACTGAGCTATGGCCCCTTACCTTTTCGTCTGACCCTTGTTCATCTGAATCCGGGGTCAGTGGTCATGCGCTTTGGGTGCGCAATCCAGACGCAATAAGTTTTTGCCGTCCGGGTGCCGGAAACTAGGTCGGGCAGCGCGCCGGATCAAGCAAAACTTGTCCCACTGCGCCTGACTTTCGACAGATTTCCTGTCTTGAGCCGAGCGATCAGATATCGTCGTCTTTTACACCGGGGATGAGGTCTGACACGTCATCATCGTCATCATCATCATCACCGGGGAGGAATGCATCCTCTTCATCGTCATCATCAATGGCGAGGATATCATCTTCATCATCCCCGTCCGCATCATCGCCGCTGGCAGCCTTTTCTTCAGCGGCCAATTCGTCCAGTGAGGTTTCCGCACCCACGGCCAGATCGCCCTCTTCTTCCTCATCCGGCTTCTTAGTGGGCGCCTCTTTAGGCGCCGCTGCAACCGGCTCAGGTGCCTTGCGTTTTGCACGTGGCACAACGACTGCTTCCTCATGGCCGCATTTGGGGCAGACCGTGGGATTTTTGTTGAGGTCATAAAACTTCGCTGCGCATTCGCTGCAAACGCGTTTTGTTCCTAAATCCTGCTTCACCTAGGCTCTCCCCCAAGGTTTTGTGACTGTAAAATTCCCATTGCCACGATCCGGCGCGCCTGTCAAAACCTATTCGCACGCCAACGGTTGCTTGCCCATATTATTTCGCAAGATGCCCAAAAAAGGATGGAAGATCGACCCACACAAATGAGAGCCCTAAGACTGGTTCGTTTGTGCTGGATCGGCAATACGCAATGACCCTAACCGCCTCCCCTTCCAGGTCCCTTAGCGGACATATTACCGTTCCGGGCGACAAGTCCATTTCCCATCGCGCCCTTATTCTAGGGGCCCTGGCGGTCGGCACAACGCATGTGACAGGCCTACTTGAAGGTGAGGACGTTCTGGCCACTGCTGAGGCCATGCGGGCGCTTGGCGCCACTGTCACGCGCATTGGCGATGGCGCCTGGGAGGTAACCGGCGTGGGCGTTGGCGGGCTTTCAGAACCCGCCACGGCGCTTGATTTCGGCAATTCCGGCACTGGCGCGCGGCTAGTGATGGGGCTCGTTTCCGGACATCCGATCACGGCGACCTTTGTCGGCGATGCATCGCTTTCAAAGCGCCCTATGGGCCGGGTCATCACGCCTCTTACCGAGATGGGCGCTGAATTTCACGCTCGCGAAGGTGGCCGCATGCCCCTTACTGTAGCAGGCGCCGCGGTCGCGCTGCCCATCACCTACCCGTTGCCGGTCGCTTCCGCGCAGGTGAAATCTGCTGTCTTGCTGGCGGGCCTTAACGCGCCTGGACAGACGACGGTCATAGAGCCTCACCCGACGCGCGATCACACTGAACGGATGCTTCGGGCTTTCGGCGCCGAGGTGACTGTTGAGCCTGGCCCACAGGAAGTGACTGTCATCCGTGTCACCGGCCAAACCGAGCTCACACCCTCAGATGTCATTGTCCCGGCTGACCCTTCGTCTGCCGCATTTCCTATCGTGGCAGCACTGACCACGCCAGGTTCTGATGTGACTGTGACGGGCGTCATGATGAACCCTCACCGTATTGGGCTTTACACGACCCTTATCGAGATGGGTGCGAATATCGACATTCAAAACCAGCGCGAGGAGAGCGGCGAGCCCGTCGCAGACCTGCGCGTTCAAACCAGCGCCCTTAAAGGCATTGAGGTTCCGCTTGAGCGCGCACCATCCATGATTGATGAATATCCTGTGCTCGCCGTGGCCGCGGCCCATGCAGAGGGCACGACCATCATGCGGGGCGCCGCAGAACTCCGGGTGAAGGAGAGTGACCGAGTGGCAGCTACAGTCGCGGGCCTTCAGGCAAACGGAGTCCCAGTCGAAGAATTTGACGATGGCATGGCCATTACCGGGGCGCCAGGTGCGGTTGCCGGTGGCGGCACAGTGCTCACCCATATGGACCACCGGATTGCCATGTCCTTCCTGACATTAGGGTTTGGTGCCCAAAAACCAGTGATCATCGATGAGGGCGAAATGATCGCCACGAGCTTCCCAGATTATGTCGCATTGATGCGGGGCCTTGGCGCGACTCTCTCATCAGAGGCGAATTCATGATCATCGCCGTTGACGGGCCCGCCGCTGCGGGGAAAGGCACTCTTGCGCGCGCCTTGGCAGAGCATTTCGGCTACGCCTATCTCGACACAGGCTCTTTATATAGGGGCGTGGCCCATGCGGTGCTCATGAGCGGATCTCAGCCCCAGG